AAAAATGTATTGTTTGTCATTTTATTATTAAATGTATTGTTCATTTTATTATATAAATGCATTGTTCATCACCTTGCTATAAAAATATATTGTTGATCATTTTACATTAAACAAATATATTGTTGGACATTTCAATATTAAAATTTACTATTGTTTATTTTTACTTCAAAAATGTATTGATTTTCATTTCACTACAAAAAAAATTTTTCATGTGTATTTTACTTTTCATAGGTACTTACTCTAAAAATATATTCTTCATTTTACTATAAAAATGTTTTGTTGGTCATGTTAATATAAATTATATCGTTGATCAGTTAACTGTAAAAATGTACTGTTGTTCATTTTACTATAAAAATTTATTTCTTATCATTTTCATATAGAAATGTATTGCTGTTCATTTTCCTATACAAATGCATCGTTGGGCATTTTGTTATAAAAATCTATTGATGTTTTTTTTTTACTATAGAAATCAACTGCTGATCATTTTACAATAAAAATATACTATTGGTCATTTTAATATAAAAACGAATTGTTGATCATATATTATTAATAGTACTATAAACATATATTGTTTTTCATTTTAATTTAATAATATATTGTTAGTCGTTTTACTATAAATATGTATTGTTGTATCATAAAACTATATTGTTTTCATTATATTTCAATAATATATTGTTGGTCATTTTCTATAAAAAATATTATTAGTTATTTTTATATAAAATTGTACTGTTGTTAATTTTACCAAAAAATCTATTGTTGCTCAAATTCCTATAAAATACTTTGTTGATCATTTTAATATAAAAATATATTGTTGGTCAATTTAATATAAAACTTTATTGTTCATTTTATTATAAAATATATTGTTGATTATTGTACCTTAAATGTATTGAGGACATTTCATTATTAAAATACACTGTTCATTTTTACTATAAAAATGTATTGATCATTTCATGCTGACAATTATTGGTCATTTTACTATAAAATCTATTGTGGATCATTTTACTATAAAAAATATATTGTTGATCATGTATTGTTGTTTATTTTAACATAAATATCTATTATTGTTCATTTTACTATAAACATGAATTTTTGGTCTTTCTAATAGAAAAAGGTACTGTGAATCATTTTACTACAAAAATGTATTGCTGGTGATTTTTCTATAAAAAGTATCGTTGATCATTTTACTATAAAGATACACCCTTGTCATTTTACTATAAAAATTTACTTGGTGCTATAAAAATGTACTATTGATCACTTTAAGTTAAAACTTATTTTTGTTTATTTTACTATAAAAATGCATTGAACAAGATTAGCAGACCGAATGAGAAAGGACATCACTAAATTCTTTAAGGACCATGAACTGAATATTACCACCAATACTAAAGCTAAAGTGTTCAATTACATAGACGTTATACAATACCTGAGTAAAGCTCTTTATAAACCATATACTAAGGATCCATACAACCACGGGTGCATCGACATAAAATCCATCCACCGTAAAAAGATGCTTGACAACTTACAAAAATCAGTACTATTTATGTTATCGTCCAACACCAGTAACAAAGAACTAAGTAATGATAATGTAACAAAATATACAAAAGCGCTAGAAAAAAAAAAAACAACCACAAAGCGAAATTTGAGTATGTATAAAGAAACAAGGACATAGGTAAAAGTAATCTAAAACAGCGCAAACGTGACGTCATATGGTCCAGCCCACCTTACAATAGTAACGTCCAAACTAATTGTCATGGATCCTTACCTATAACTCCAGAATGAACTCTTCCTATCACTATGTATACTACGCTTCTCAAGAGAGGGTCGATTTAAGCCGAGCTTCTCGGTTTGACGGTCGAACTCTCTGCCTCTGAGCAGAGAGGAACCCGGACGAGGCTCCGCCGAAGGGCAGAGTCTCGTTCGGGGAGGTTGACCAACCCGATCCCGTTTATACGGGTTCTACGGGCGTTTTTTGGCCGAGCCTACGGGCTCGGGAAACCCACGTTAAACTCGGCCTTGTGCCACATGCAACCCTCGGGGGGTGTAGATACCGAATCAAGCCGAGCTTCTCGACTTGACGGTCGAACTCTCTGCTTCTGAGCAGAAAGGAACCCGGACGAGGTTCCGCCGAAGGGCAGAATCTCGTTCGGGGAGAATGACCAACCCGATCTCGTTTATACGGGTTATACGGGCATTTTTGGGCCGAGCCTACGGGCTCGGAAAAACCCACGATAAACTCGGCCTTGTGCCACATGCAACCCTCGGGGGTTGGGATAGATACCGATTCCAGCCGAGCTTCTCGGTTTGACGGTCGAACTCTCTGCCTCTGAGCAGAGAGGAACCCGGAGGAGGCTCCGCCGAAGGGCAGAGTCTCGTCCGGGGAGGTTGACCAACCCGATCCCGTTTATACGGGTTCTACGGGCATTATTTGGGCCGAGCCTACGTCTCTTATACAGGCGTCTGCAATGGGGATAAGTTAGACGAACTAGTAGATGAGCATATTCGG